AGACTGATGTTGACCCCTGAATGAGAACTTCTCTCTCTCCTCCCCGCAGGACGCCAGCCATGATCGGCTGCTCCTTCGTGGTCAACAGGAAGTTCTTCGGTGAGATTGGTCTTCTCGACCCTGGGATGGACGTGTACGGAGGAGAGAATATAGAACTTGGAATCAAGGTTAGTGAGCCGGCCCCTTTCCTCCTGGCTTCCTCATGTTGGGGGGCAGGGCCGCTGAGTCCTCTTTGGTTGGGTCTTCTGGCTTGCCACCATTCTGGTGGATGGCAAAATGGTGGCCCATGTGGTTAAAATACTCAACTGCTCACCACAAGGTTGGGAGTTTGAACCCACCGAATGGCTCCATGGATGAAAGATGCAGAAATCAATCCGGTCACAGGGATCACCTAGAAAACCATCCAGCAGGGCAGTTCTGCTCTGCCTGCAGTGTTGCGTGGGCTCTGTATGCGCCCAAACTCAACTCACTGTCAATAGCAGCAACACCCTCGCTGATACGTTGACGCTGAACAGCCCCACTCTGAGCAAGTTGGTACCCGTCCGTCAGACCGACTGCTGTCAAGTCCATGCTGACTCATAGCCGGTCCTTTGTCCCTCAGAAAGATGGGTGGGTGTGAACTTCTGATCTTAAGGTTAGCAGCCAAACAGCTGTATGCACGATCCCACCAGGTCTCACACTCCTTCTGAAGGACAGGGGGGTGGGGGGTAATCTTGGGAACTCATTTGCTGCATTAAGCAAGGAGTTCTGTTCCCAATCCTATGGAGTTTTTTGTTTGTTTGTTTGTTTGTTTGTTTTTGTCTTCTCGAATGTTTCTCGCAATTAAATTGCAATCAGCTCTCCCGGTCTGTGGTCCTTAGGCTTCCATGAGAAGCATGCTCCCTGGGAAATGTAGGGTACGATTTCCGGGAACCTCTGGCCACCTCATTTCCATCCACGTGTCACCTTTCTCTCTATGTGTTTCTGCTTAGTGATACCGTATAGAATGTGTACTATGGATTCACTCACACAGACCCTATAGGACAGGGTAGACATGTCCCTGTGGGGTTTCTGAGACTGTAACTCTTTATAGGAATAGAAAGCCTTGACTTTTCTCCCTTGGGACAGCTGGTGGTTTCAAACTGCTGACCTTGGGGTGAGCAGCCCAACACATAACCAGTAGCCCGCCTATAGGGTTGCTCTGAGTAGGAATCAACGCAAAGGTAGTGAACGTGGTTTCATTTGGTTGATTCGCTGGGAGCCCTAGTGGTGTGTCAGGTTGCACATTGGGCTGATAACTATAAAGTCAGCAGTTCAAAACCAGCAGCAGCTCTGCAGGAGGACGATGAGACTTTCTAC